ACAAAAGAAAAGCCTTCACACAAGTGCAAGAATTCGGATTATTTCAAGAACATACCAGAGTAATCATATGGCATATAGATAGACCCGATCCTGCAAGCATGTGGACCCGTGAGAAAAAGGTATTCATCTGAGTAACTGTACTTACATGTGCAAGAAGTATTCCCAAAACAGAGTTTTACACACACACACACACACCACTGGTGCATGCGAAGGTCGTGCGTGAGTGTGTATACATATACATATTATCTACCATCATATAAGCATGCCATATGGTTATATGTTACATACGTGTGTCCAAAATTCACCTACGCGCAAATGTAGTTTTTCTCTGCAAACAAATATTCTATCCAAGACAACTTTGCCCAAGCCAACAGTTGCCAAACAAAAATACCGGCTCGTTTGAAAACTGCCCTCTATAAACAACTAACTGCACAATAAGTTTAATAGTACTTCGACTACTAGATCTGAATTTTCAAATACTCCCCCCCCCCCCATTAATACTCGTAAGGACTTTTTTATTGGAATTTCCAGTAGAGAACAGTTTAAGGAGAATTTGCCGAGCTTCTGTCTCTTTTAATGTATCCAAAAGTTCCCTAGAGTCTCCTAGAAAATACTTGGCGCGAAAATGAACGGAAAGCCCCTGTTTTGTCCCCAGAAGAAACAATGTGTGAGGGGCACCGTAATGCAGCGTATAAGGGCATTTGTATCACTTTATTAAATCATAATTATTAGAGTCACGCATCCATAGGGGCAGGTGTAGGCTAAGGCATGGACAGACAGTGTTATCTAGCCTATTGTACCAAACTTTGTGGCTTATATAAACTGGTCCTGTACTAGGGAGGAGGGGAAGAAGTGAGTAAGGTGGTGTTAGATTAAAAAAAAAAAGATGGGCCACGCTAGATTTCCCCACGTAGGGGCCGATCCTGAGCGTATTGGAGTCAGCGACAAAGCCCGCATTGACTTCAGAGGCGCCAGTCGCACGAGTGACCCCATGAGTTCCGGGGGGCTACTCCCGTGCGTAAGAACAGCCGGATCCAAAACCCCATTGAAGTCCACGGGAGTCTTTCCACTGACTTCAATGGGCTTTGGACCAGGCGTGCCAGGATCGGGCTTTGGCTTTCTCAGGTTTATCCCCACCCTACACCTCCCTTTAACCTTTTTCAATTGCCAGCATGAATATAAAAAAATCTCCCCCCGGTTGGTCTTCAAACTGCTTGGCATTGACCAACAAGAGGATTTAAAAAAAAAACAA